TCCCACACGCTGCCCGCGACAATGCCTTCCATGCCTAGGTTTTTGGCTACCGCTTCTCATGCATTTTCGCCTTGACACGCGGTGAAGCCCGTCCCCTGAACATGCGGAGAAGCTTCAAAGCTTTTGGGGCATCGGTGCAAAACACAAGGACTTCAAAATTTTCAGGCACGAAAGTCCAGTCAAGGCCTAAGCAGCCGCCCTCACGTCCGCGCGCTCCGCTCGTGAATCCAGCCCGGCCATCCTACCTGAGTTCTTGAGGGTTTAGGATGACACGCGCCCACGCCCGCCCGCAACGCTGCCATCCATGTCCATGTATAGGCTACTACTTCTCGTGTTTTTTCGCCTTGAGAGTGGTCAAGCCCGTCCCCTGACCATGAGAAGAAGCCTCAAAGCTTTTCGGGCATCGGTGCAACTCACAAGGACTTCAAATCTTTCAGGCACGAAGTCCAGCCGATTTCTAGGAAGTCTGCCCTCACGTCCGTGCGCAGCTCGCGACGCCAGCCTGGCCATCCTGCCTGAGCTCCCCGGGGTTTAGGATGGCACACTCCCACACGCTGCCCTCGACAATGCCTTCCATGCCTAGGTTTTCGGCTACCGCTTCTCATGCATTTTCGCCTTGACACGCGGTGAAGCCCGTCCCCTGAACGTGGGGAGAAGCTTCAAAGCTTTTGGGGCATCTGTGCAAAACACAAGGACTTCAAAACTGTCAAGCACCAAAGTCCAGCCTATGCCTAAGAAAACCGCCTCACGTCGGTTGCCTGGCCTTCCAGCCTGACTTTTAGGGGCTGAGGATAGCTCATGCCCACACGCTGCCAGCGACAATGCCAATGTATGCTTATGTGCTAGCCTACCACTTCTCATGCTTTTTTCGCCTTGAGAGTTTTGGTCAAGCCCGCCCCTTGACCATGAAGAGAAGTCCTAAAACTTTTGGGGCTCCGGCGCAATCCAAGAACCTCAAAAAATGTCAGGCACGAAGGTCCAGCCAATGCCTATGAAAACCGCTCTCGCGTCTGCGTGCGCAGCTCGCGACGCCAGCCCGGCCACCCCGCCTGAATTCTTGGGGGTCTAGGATGGCGCGCGCCCAATGCCATCCATGCCTAGGCATCATGCATTTTTGCCTAGAGAGATGCGGTCAAGCTCGTCCCTTTGCCCTGAAGAGGCCTGTGTGCGCCAATTCTGACATCTTGCGAAATGCACAGACAGACTTAGGCGTTGGCCTCCGAGGGACTCACAGCGCCCAGCGTGCGATCTGGGCAGCAAGGGATGCCCAGACCCCCGCTGCAGCGAATCCCCCACAAGGAAATGGCATGCACTGGCGCATGCGCGCTGCTTGTTTCGCCGGGCCTATATCAGGCCCACGGATTGACATGCTCTGCATGTCATAGTTACGTGGTCCGCCTCGGACCTACACTGGAGCCTTGCCCAGCCGCCTGCCGCCTGTGCCTGAATCGAAGATCCCGCTCTTCCTTGCAAGGATTGATGGTCCGCCTCGGACTCACGCTGGAGTTTTTTCCCAGCTGCCTACTTATTGCTCATGCCTCACCGCAAAAGCCCTGCCACTGTTTCTTCTTGCAGCGCGCTGCTTGTTCTCGCCGGGCTTGTTCTTAGGCCCACGTCTAGACATGCTCTGCGTGTCATAGACTCGTGGTCCGCCTCGGACTCACGCTGGGACTTGCCCAGCCGCCTATGCCCGAGTCGGAAGCTTCAGCATTCCCCTCGCAAGCGCATTGCCCCTGCCGCCAGGCTTATCTTATGTCCACGCATGGACATTCCTTGCGTGTCACAGACTACTGGTCCGCCTCGGACTTACGCTGGAACTTTGCCCAGCCGCCTACGTCTGCGTGCCTGGCTCTAGACGCAAATTTTGCTTGCCAACAGCGGTGCGCTCAGATGCCATTGGGTTCGCCCCACGCCCACATTTAGACATGCCCTGCGTGTCATAGACTGGTGGTCCGCCTCGGACTCACGCTGGAGCTCTGCCCAGCTGCCTCCGCCTGAGTCGGAAGACTCCGCCTTCTCCTCCATCTTCTGGGGAAACACATCCGCCTCGGATGTTTCTCAGTGTTTTGGGGCTGGCCCAGCCCCGCGCAGCCTACAGTGACCGCTTTACCGCAGGCAGTCTGCACCATCAAGCTGGAACTTTGCATTTCATGCAATTGGGCCCAAAAGCTCGTGAGCGCCTGCTCTCGGCAGTCCCTGCACAGGGCCCGCCTGCCGCTGACGCCCAGTCGGTGCAGACCGACTTGCCATCAACCGCCGCCCAGGTCGGCCAGCTTCCAGGTCTGCCAGATTTCAGCCACTGTCTAGGTCAGCCATCAGCCACCGCCCAGGTCGGCCAGCCTTCAGCCACCGCCCAGGTCGGCCAGCCAGCGCCCACAACGGCCCCGCCTCGGGTAGTCACGGGACAGCCAGCGGTCTAAGGACCCGCGCCCACGCCGACTCGCCCACCGCCAAGTTGGCCATCAGCCACCGCCCTGGTCGGCTAGCCTTCAGCTACCGCCCAGGTCGGCCAGCCAGTGCCCGCAAAGCCTTCTCCTCGTTCGTCGGGAAGAAACACATCATGGCCTGTTGTTGTTGGGACTGTCCCAGCCCAGCAAAGCCGTCAGTACGTCCACAGGACCGCGCGTCTTCAGGGCACACCGCAAAGTACGACTGCCCGTGTGTTCCCCTTGCCTTGACCTAGCTGTGACATCTCGAGGGTTAGCTGCCCCGCTCGCCAGGTACATCCCACAACATCGTCGTGGAGTTCCTCAGCGTAACCCTGCCCACGAACACATGCTGCCTTGCATGCCTACTCGCCACCAGTCTGCCCAAATGCACACGTCCTGTGGCAGACTTGCCACAAGTAGCCACGTCCCTTGCCCTTGAGCTTGCCCAAGTATCAGCTCTCCCAGCCCTCACACAAGCCCCCTGTCAGGTAAAGCCTTCTGGCCCTGCCCTGGCCACGCCAACAGCCCTTGCCTTGGCCTCGGAAAGAATCTGCGCAAGAGGCCAAACATGCCCGCACGTAACATGGGCAGGTTTCAGCCAATATGGTCCAAAAGCGCCAAGGCCAGGCACCTTCCTCGCAGGCGCACGGCTTGGGTTTGCCAACAGCCACATCCCCAGACGCGTTTGGGCCTGACTCACGCCCACGTCTGCACCTGCCCTGCGGGTCCGTAAACTGTTGGCCCGCCTCATATGCTGCCTACCTGCCTACGCCACGGATGGCCTATTGCATTTGGGAACGCCTAGCCAGCACAGCCACGCGCACGGCCTTCAGTGACCTCCACATGTCCTTGCGCAGGTCCCGCGTGGGTTTGACTGTCACAAACAACTGCCCGTGTGTTTTTTCTTTGCCTGTAGGACCTTGCTAGGGTTAGCAACCCCTCTCGCCAGGTGCAGTTCACTTCCTGGTGGCGGAGTTCTTCACTGTGGGTTGCCCACGAACCGCCTGTAGGACCTTGCTAGGGTTAGCAACCCCTCTCGCCAGGTGCAGTTCACTTCCTCGTGGCAGAGTTCTTCACGGTGGAGTTGCCCATGAACTGCCCAAGTGGAGCCCACAGGCCCCCAAACAGGATCTTACAGCCTTCCGCTTCAGGCCGCAGCCTCATAGCGCCCAAGCCCTTACGCTCGCCTTTGCCTGCAGCCCCCAGGCGAGCTAATCGGCCTGAACAGCAGACTGAGGACCCAAGCCATGGTCCTGGCCGCCTTTAGCCTTCGGCTGCAAGCGAGAGCCTCAAGGAGGGCAAGCCCACATTCTCGCTTTTAGCCTCGGCCCGCAGCCCCCAACGGAGCCGCAGTTTAGGGGGGCCGTAGCCGCCACCTCAAGGGCGGGCCAAGAAGTTATCCTGGCGCCCTAAACGGCAGCCTCGCAAAGACAAGCCTGCATCTTCGCCGCCAGCCTCACCTCGCCGCCCACAGTCGAGCCGCAGCTTCACAAAGGCCGAAGCCTCCATCTTGGCTCTCACCTGCAAGCCGCAACCTCAAGGGAGGCCAAGCAGAGATCTTAGCCTCTAAGGGGAAGCCTCACAGAATACAAGCCTGCGTCTTCGCCTTCAGCCCCAGCAAACAGCCCCCCGTTGAGCCGCAGTCTCAAGGGGGCCACAGCTTTTATCTTTGGCCTTCAGCTTGAAGCCGCAACCTCAAGGGGGGCCAAGCAGTTATCTTCGCTTTCGGCCCTGAGCGGCAGACAAGCCCACGCCTTCGACTTCAGCCCCAGCCCGCAGTCCCCAGTTAAGACGCAAACTCAGAGCGGCCAAAACCTTCTTCTTGGCAATCTCAAGGAAGGGGCTAAACAGTTCTTTCTTTAGCCTTCGGCTTTCAGCGGAAGCCTCGAGGACGACAAGCCCGCGTCTTCGCCCTCAGCCTCAACCCTCAGCCCCCACTGGGGCGCAGTCTCGGGGGGGGGGCCAAATGCCTGTTTCCTGGCCTTCAGCTTGAAGCCACGCCGCCCGCGACGCCAACGCGGACACCCTGCCTGTGCACTTGGGGACTGGGTTCGGGATGGCACTTGCCCATACACTGCCCGCGACAATGCCATCTATGCCTAGGCACTTGCTACCGCTTCCCATGCATCTTCATCTTGAGAGGTCGGCAAAACCCGTCCCTCAACCATGAGAAGAAGTCCCAAGCTTTTAGGGCATCGGAAGGACTTCAAAAGTTTCGGGCGCAAAAGTCCAGCCATTGCTTATGCGCAAAGGCCCTCGTGTCCGTGCGCGCAGCTACCGACGCCAACCCGGCCATCCTGCCTGTGCACGTGGGGTTTTAGGGTGGCACACGTGGCCTGAAGCCGAGGGTTGCAGCCCCAAAAGACCAAGGAAACTCTTGGCCAATTTGGCTTTAAGCAGGCTGTGTAGTGAAAGGGGGGCCAGGCCTCCATCTTAGCCTTCAGCATGTTGCTGCACCAAGAGCTTATATTCGCCTTCTGCCTCAGCCCGCAACCGTCAGGCGAGCCAAGAACCAAAACTTTTCCTGGCCTGAAGATTTGGGCCGCAGCCTTAAGCGGGCCAGCACTCATCTCAACCTGCAGCCTGGGCCATGAACGCGCCAAGCCACAGCCAGCGTTCCTCCGAACGACAGCCCCTGCACCGACCTCGTTTCTCCTGCGGGCGACATGCGCCCCAAGATGCTCTGACAGCTCGTGCCTGCCCTGACAGCCCAGCTTGCTCCTTCGCCTCCTCGCACGCCAGACCCATACGCGTATTGCACGAAGGCATACAGAACTCGGATCTGCCCGGCGCCAGCAAGCCAGGACGCCCGGCTGCACGAGCCACGCCAAGGCCGCTCACCACTAATGTCGTAGCCGACAGGCTGACGAGCAGCCCCGAACCTCGAGCCGCGGCGTCAAGGGCCTGGCCTTGCATTCTGGCCACTCCCCTCCCTTCGGGCCACAGCTTCAGAGCTCGCCAAGAATCTACTCAGCCTCCCCAGCCACGAAGCAGCCAAGCCCTCTTCACAGCCGAGCCGCATCACCGGTACTATTGCCCAGGATATGGCCTTTCAAGTCTCTCAAAGCCTGTCCGTCGACCATGAGGAGCAGTCCCAAAGCTTTTGGGGCATCGGTGCAATTCACAAGGCCCTCAAGACTTTCAGGCACAAAAGTCTAGCCAATGCTGAAGCAAACCGCCCCCGTGTCCGCGGGCGCCGCTCACGAAGCCAGCCCGGCCATCCTGCGTGAGTTCCTGAGGGTTTAGGATGGCACGCGCACACACCTGCCCGCAACACTGGCATCGATGCCTATGTATGGGCTACCATTTCCCATGCATTTGCGCCTTGCGAGGTGCGGTAAAACCCGTCCCTCGACCATGCGGAGAAGTCTCAAAGCTTTCGGGGCACCCGAGCAATTCACAAGGACTTCCAAATTTGCAGGCACAAAAGTCCAGCCAATGCTTAAGCGAACCGCCCTCATGTCCGCGGGCGCCGCTCGCGACGCCAGCCCGGCCATCCTGCCTGAGTTCTTGAGGGTTTAGGATGGCACGCGCACACACCTGCCCGCAACAATGCCATCTATGCCTTTGTATTGGCTACCATTTTTCATGCAGCCTCGAGAGGTGCGGTAAAACCGGTCCCTTGACCATGAGGAGAAGTCGCAAAGCTTTCGGGGCGCCCGAACATTTCGCAAGGACTTCCAAACTTGCAGGCACAAAAGTCTAGCCAATGCTTAAGCAAACCGCCCTTGTATCCGCGGGCGCCGCTCGCGAATCCAGCCCGGCCATCCTGCCTGAGTTCTTGACGGTTTAGGATGGCACGCGCACACACCTGCCCGCAACAGTGCCATCTATGCCTTTGTATTGGCTACCATTTTTCATGCATTTGAGCCTCGAAAGGTGCGGTAAAACCTGTCCCTTGACCATGAAAAAAGTCTCAAAGCTTTCGGGGCACCCGAGCAATTCACAAGGACTTCCAAACTTGCAGACACAAAAGTCCAGCCACTGCTTAGCAAATCACACTCATGCCCGCGGGCGCCGCTCGCAAAGCCAGCCCGGCCATCCTGCCTGAGCCTTTGAAGGTTTAGGATGGCACGCGCCCACACCTGCCGCAACAATGCCATCTATGCCTATGTTCTGGCTACCATTTTTCATGCATTTGAGCCTCGAGAGGAGCGGTAAAACCTGTCCCTCGACCATGAGGAGAAGTCGCAAAGCCTTCGGGGTGCCCGAGCAATTCACAAGGACCTCCAAAAATACAGGCGCAAAAGTCCAGCCGGCGCCTAAGAGAATCGCCCTAGTGTCCGCGTGCGAAGCTCGCGACGCCAACCCAGCCATCCTGCCTCGGTTCTCGGGGCCTAGGATGGCGCGCGCCCGCATACTGCTTGCGACGGTGCCATCTATGCCCATGTCTTTGGCTGCTACTTCTCACGAGTCTTCGCCCTGAGAGATGCGACCCCGAGGCATGCACACGGGGTAGATGCAGGAATTCACACAAGAACACGAGTGAAGCCTGCGGAAGCTCCCAGAAATTGAGCGCGCAATACCTCAAGGTTTTGGATGATGCCTCAGGGTTTAGGATGACACGCAGGCACGCTGTACACGCAGCAATGCCTTTCCTGCCAGTATTCGCCTACCATTCCTGCCAGTACTCGCCTATACTTGCGAGCCAACTCTCTCCGCGAGAGATGCCGCCCAAAAGTCTGCATAACAGGGTCAAAGCTCCCCGACATCGAGCACGCATGTGCCTCAGGCGCAGCAATGCCCCTTTTTGCCAGCACTGCCCATACTTCATATGCCAAATATCTCCTCAGGAGACACGGCCCAAAAGTCGGCCGAACAGTGCCAAAGCTCCCAGCAATCGCGCGCGCCCGGACCTCAGGCACAGCAATGCCTGTTTCTGCCAGTCTTTGCCTACACTTCCTATGCCCAACATCTCCTCAAGAGATGCTGCCCAAAAGTCGGCCGAATAGTGCCAAGGCTCCCAGTAATCGAGCACGGCGCGCCGTGCACGCAGTAAGGCCGTTTCTGCCAGTAGTATTGGCCTGCACTTGCAATGTCAAATCTCTCCGCGAGAGATGCTGTCCAAAAGTCAGCCCAAGCTCCCGCAAATCGAGCGCGCCTGTGCCTCAGGGCTCAGGATGACTCGCAGGCACGCAACGCACGCAGCACAGCTAGCCCTCACACTGGCCTTCCTCACGGTCATCGGAGCCCCACTCAGCTGGAAGAAAGCCGCTTTCGGCGACCAACTCGTGTGGTGCGGTTGGAAGTTCTGCTTTGCCACAGAATCCGTATGCCTGGCACAGCCCAAGCTGGATAAGCTGCGCGCCCAGCTACTCGGCCTTCTAGAGCACAAGCGCGTCCCCCGCAAGGAGCTCGGATCTTGCCTCGGCCTATTGATGTGGGCCACTAGCATAAGCTCACACCTGCGCTGTTTTGCCGCCCCGCTATACGCAGACTTGCACAGCCCGCCAGGGACCCAATACCCCATCCCACCTCGCAGCTGGCCACAGTTCCTGTGGTGCCTAGACTCTCAGTGCCGGGTCACAAAGGACGCCTCATTCCTACAATTGCCCATAAAGGCCAAGGTAATTGAGGTCAAAGGGAAGCCGGCGTCGTCAAAAACGGACATCTGGCCCATCCCAGCTGCAGACAAGACTGTGTGGGTGCGCATCGCTGACCCAAACGCACAGGAAATCACATTGCGCAACGACAGCAAAGCCGCCTTACACTGGCTCGCTCAGTGCTTTACGCACGAATTCCGCATGCCCCTAGCCCAGCCGCCCTTACTCCCTTGCTTCTCTGCAGCAGACGCCATGGCAGATGGCTCGCAAGTTGGGATCGGGGGCTGGTTGTGCACGTCCAGCCAAACTTTCTGGTTCGCACAACAGTGGTCCATAGCAGAACTACGTGCCCACTAGCCTTTCCTCACGAAGGATGCCCAGCAATATATTGCCTGCTTCGAGACCATCGCGCAGTGGGTCCTATTGCAGATGGACTACTCGGCCACCGGTTGCTCCAGCCTTCGCTTCTGCTTGCCCACTCCCAGCGACAACAGCCCAACACAAGCCTCAGTCAACAAGCTGTTTACCACCGCCTTTCCCCTCAGCCTCTTCCTGCAGAAGGAGCCTCCTGGGCCCACGCTAAAGGACTGAGCCTAGAAGTGGGCCACATACCGGGAGTAAAGAACACGGACGCTGACGACCTTAGCCGAAACCGCCTGCAGAAGTTCACCGGCGCGACCAAATCCAAGAGATTCCACATCAAGCTGCAAGACCTAGCTCGGAGCACGAGGTCAGCCTATGGCCCCCAAAACGCCAACTGGAGCACTGGCCTAGTGCAGGTTTCAGCACATCCAGCCTAGTGCCCCGGGCACCAGCCAGACCGCCCGCGGTGGGGGTAGATAGGCCTAATGCATTCACCGGTCTGCCCTGGGCCCCTGAAGTGGGGGTGTGATGGCCTTTCATGCTCGTGGGACATTGCCCAGCCTTTCCCACGAAGCATTCTACTCTTTCGCCCAGAGCAGCACCGCTGAAAACAGGAGAGCGAGTCGGTTGTACCCTAAGCCCCTCCCTTTTGGGACTTAGGATTAGGGTTTGACTCCTCTCCCCAACTAGGGTTAGGTCATGCAGTGCTTGTTGGGAGAACGCTTCGGGTTTTTGGTTCCCGTGTGTTTTCCCACAAGTGAATCATGCACCGCCGTTTGCATTTTGCCCAGGCATGCCTTGCACAGCTGGAGCATCTCCGGCTCACAGCTGGCCTTGACCTAACCCCTAGGTGGCCCCACCTAGGGGTTAGGTCAAGGCCAGCTGTGAGCCGGAGATGCTCCAGCTGTGCAAGGCATGCCTGGGCAAAATGCAAACGGCGGTGCATGATTCACTTGTGGGAAAACACACGGGAACCAAAAACCCGAAGCTTAACAGTTTGCCTGACCACCACCCCCCCCCCCCCCCCCCCCCCCCCCCCCCCCCCCCCCCCCCCCCCCCCCCCCCCCCGGCCCCAAATCCCTCACACCACCACCACCACCCACCAGTACTTACTCGTGCGTACTACTACTTACTACTACTTACTATACTACTTACTACTACTTACTACTACTTACTACTACTTACTACTACTTACTACTACTTACTACTACTTACTACTACTTACTACTACTTACTACTACTTACTACTACTTACTACTGACAACTACTTACTAGCATCAACATAGGTTCCGGTAATCCCCAAAACCCTTTTTCCTAAAACGATAGTTAAACCGTTGAACCCCGTACACCTTAAGCCAGGATTCTTCTTCACTGCGAAAAACAGCTTTTTGCGGTTCTTGAGGTCGAATTCTTGGGTGTAAGGGCCAAAGGCCCTATGGGTACCGACGAGGGCCCTGAAGTTTATCAAGGGCTCTTTAAGGAAAATCTCGGTGTCGTTTCTTGAAGCTTGTCAGCTCTCTCTCTCTCTCTCTCTCTCTTCTGAAGGCCCCTGAGCTCTCGTCCTCCATGACATCAGCTACCATGGTCGAAGTCGAAGTCGAAGTCGATGTCTCGTTTGCCTCCGCGGTCGAAGTCGAAGTCGAAGTCGACGGTTCGGTCGCCTCTGCAGTCGAAGTGGAAGTCGACGTTGTGGAAGTCTCGGAGGCACGGTTGAGACCGGGAAGAGTACTCCAAGTCTACCCCGACAAGCACTCCCCGACGCCCATACAACGTGTCAACTAAATCTCGAAGGGCATGGGGATCCTGAGGTGCATGGGATCAAGAAAGGACTCTTGTCGTCTGGAACTTCGCGCATGACAAACTTTTCCGCAGCTTGCTAGTACCTCATCCTTTCTGTTGACTTCCCAACCCGTTTCACAGGATTGCACGGCTTTGTGGCATGCACTTAATGGGTTTCAGAAGCTGGGTGTAAGGAATTGGCTGGTGCACGTCTCCTCCTCGCTGCCTAGC